CCAGGCGCTCCCCACCTGTCCACTCATCTTTTTCCTCTTCTATTCTCCTCATCAACCAGCTCCGCTCAATCACCCCGAACCTCCCTGCCCACGGAGCCTATAGAGTCATCCAGCCAGGAACAACCTTGGTGGGCGGTGAGAGTGGAGTGTTCCTGTGAACCATCAAAACTTGCTTAAAAGTTTCAGTGGGTTTGTGCATTGGTGCATTTTTCCAAGGAAACGTCCATAGATACTCAAAGTTGTGACCAAAACAAACAAACAAAGAAAGGTTAAGATCCACAGAAGTAAAATGTTAGGGTCTTAATGCCATACTCTTTCCCTAGGTTTGAAAAGAGGTCTTAGGGATAAAATGTTTAATGCAAAGGAATGACTCTCAAATGGTGGAATTTCAGGGACCAATGACAATTGGAGAGAAAAGTTTGGGGGTAGGTCCCATAACTTACACCCTGTTGTGTTACTCTAAAAATGACCCAATCTAAGGAATAGCTTCCAGTGACCCTGAACTGGTCAGAGTGGGGGCCTCTCTTGTTACTGAGTTGTTTTTCTTGGCAGTAGAAATTTTAGATGTTGCCAGACAGCAATAAATTCTAATATTATCAGGTTCCCTTTTTAAGGAAAAGACTTTGAAATAGCAATAGAGACCCATCTGAAGTCTTCAAATACAAATAATTCAGAATCAGTGCTCGAGCTCTGTTCTTAAGCTACAAGGACGTTTCTCTAGACCTTAACTGGCTTCCAGAGAGAAGGACATATAGCTTCAGTATTGAAGAGTAACTGAAACTCTGTCAAGGCAACATTTATCTGACTTAATTATTGTCACTTAGTCACATCTCTCTCCTCAAGGCCCGGCTAATTCTTGTAACGTCAAATACTTTCCATTGAATTTACAAGTTCATTTTTCACTACTTTTTCTTTTATTGTGTTTTTACTTTAAACCTTATACATAATATAAAATTTACCATCTTAACTATTTTTAAGTGGACAGCACAGTAGTGTTAACTCTATGCACCTTGCTGTACAACAGATCGCTACAATGTTTTCATCTTACAAAACTGAAACTCTATACCCATTGAACAACTCTTTGCTCCCCTGCCCTCCAGTCCCTGGCAATTTCCATTCTACTTTCTGTTTCTAAGAGTTTGACCACTTTATTACTGAACCGGGTTCGTTTTGCCTGCCACATGATTATGCCAATCACTGAGATGATGAGTTCACAAAGAGAAAGGATGTAATCACAAGGCAGCCAAACGAGAAGGTAGGAGAACCAATCTCAAATCTGCCCTGCTGAAAAATGGGGATTAGGGGTATTTATGGGATAAGGGGGTGGGGCGGTCTGAAGTGGGAACAGATGATTGGAGGTGAGGAGAAGTGAGGTAATTGATGATCTGCCCAAGTGTAGCCAAGCTTCACGGCTCTTCATAGGATGCGTGTTCACAAAATGGCGACATTACCACGATCCAAGGGTGGAGTTTTCATCTCCTTGACGTCAAAAGTTCATTTATCAGTCATCCTCGAAGGCCCAGTTGATGAGTTGGTGGTCTTGACTGGCCTGAACTGGACAGAGTCCACTCTCACTTCCTGAAAAACTTAAGCACCCTACCTGTTACCATGGTGACCCAAGCAACAGAGATGTTATCTATATGGGCTTTAGTAATGCATTATCTAACTACTTTTGCAAACAGACAACTGAGTATAGTTAAAGCAAGTTGGCCCTGGGTTTCAACTTTAGATACCTAATATAAGTGGAATCATGCAGTATTTATCTTTTTTTGTGACTAGCTTATTTCACTTAGCATTATGTCCTCAAGGTCCATCCATGTTGTAGCATATGACAGAATTTCCTTCTTTTTTAAGGCTGAATAATATTCCATTACATGTATTACCATTTTCACCACGTTTTTTTACTACAACTTTATTGTTCTGTGATTTTATTTTGTTTTTCCTGGTATAAAACATGAAGGTTGCCTTATCACGTATATTGAATTTACCACTCAGAAACTTTTCTTATTAAATAAGTAGAGGATTTGTAGACATGAATATTTAACAGATATTTTCCCCAGGTATCCTAATGATCCATTAGGAATGGAGCAAGTTTATAAAGTAATTGGTAATCTTTCATAATGCAAGCTACTTTATAAGGCATTTAAAATAGTCTTTCAAACAATATGACAGGAACAAAAACAAAATTAAAACTTTTTGACCTTTTGAGCTTAAGGAAAAGTTTTCAAGTGATTGCGATGTTGAACCACTCTATTAATGGCTTTTTATATGCCCCCTTAGCTAATAGGTGAATTTCAGAGAGGGACTATTCCCCTTGAAATTTCTAAACAGAATATAAACAGAAATATTCCCAAACAGAAATAAAACAACGAGTGTCTAAGCATTATGAAAGGATTATTAAACGTTTGTTCACCAAGAGGATAATCCCTTTACCTAATTGAACTGAGGAGGAAACAAAGGTGAGTGTGGATCCTTTTGCAACCAGAGTTTAGGAGAGTGACCTTGGGGAACACAACTGTCAATTTCTCCTAGTGGGACCCAGGTAAATCTAGTGATCTGTTGCTCTCCAAGGTGAAACTCAACTCCATTCTCAAAGCTGATTGCCTTTCAAAAGATGGCACTCTGAAATGATTATCAGCCATAAGCTGATAAATAAGTATAATAATAAAGCCCCTGGAATGGCATTATTCATCTGAGGTGTAAGAAAATACATACTCACCCCCATCCCTATACCTCCTTTTTCCTTCTCCATCCTTGAGGCTTGAGTTGTCTAGACATTCATTGGTTTCAGTACAGTTTATATTTCCAAAAGCCCCCACTGCCTGTGGTGCAAAGAATGGGCATGGCTCCTGATGTCCAAAGGAAATTGTTGATCCAAACTTGTGGATGAGGCCAGGGAGGGTGGAGAGGAGCAGAGCAGGGGAGAAGAATCACATTCAATGTGGAAAGAGACAAAGGAAAGCGAGGCAGGAGCAGGGAGAATAGAGAGCTAGGTTGAGGGGTTTAGGAAAATTCGGGAAGGTGAGGAATAGGGCCATAGAGGAGAGGATGAGGAGAGAGTGAGCATGAAATTGAGAGGGCAAAACAGAAAGGAGTCGGGAAACGGAGAAATAGACAAAGCGGAAAGATACAGAAACTGGAAATTATTAAAACTTCGAATAAAAACCAATTCATTCGAAAGTATTCTGCAGTGTTTTTGTGAGACAGTGCAACAGAAATAGGAAAAGGCCCTTTATTTTCTTAGGAAAAGAACGCAGACCGGAGGTGGGAGAGGAATGGTAGAGAGTTTTCCAAACAAAGGGAGAGCCTGTGGCCTCTCAGACTGCCCCCACCCTACACTGGATGAACTGTTCACACCACAGTCCTGACTTTCTCCATCCGGAGAGGAGGGATCTGGGACAGAAGCCTGGTCTCTGCACCAGCTGTGGAGTGGGAAGTGGGACCGCAGAGTTTGGTGCAGGGTGGGTAGGAGGTGGGTAGGGGTTAGAGAAGAGGGGTCTCTCTGGGGTGGGTGAGGGGCCTGGCTGGGGAGTAGGTGGTCTCCATAGGGAGCCACCCCAAGGCTTTGTTGAGGGGACTTGGCTCACAGAAGGACACATACGTGGTGCCATAAAGGAGAGACAAACACCTACAAACCCAGATCAGTCCTTCAGACCTGCACCCCAGCCCCTCTGCTCCAGCCTCATCTAGAGATAACACAGATCCCCCCGGCCGAGTATAAACTGCCCCAACTCTTGACACCTGAGCAAAGACCCCCGACCTCTCCCATGGGGAAAAGAAAGGCCTTGACCAGGGTACAGTGCACAGGAACTCAGCCCACTGCTGCACCTGCCCCCACAGAGTCTGGGGAGGGTGAGGGCCAGCCCTTGGTACACAGCACTGGAGTGTGCCCCTCCAACTTCCGGCTGTCGCTGGTTGAGACTTGGAACAAACCAACCACCTGAGCTTCAGTTTCGTCACTGCCAAGTGGGTGTAAGGACAGGTCCTGCTTATGATGCGCAGAGAGGATGCAGTGTTGCTGGGGTTTACAGACACTCAGTAAATGGCAGCCAAGTGAGGGAGAAATATCCTGGGTGTGTGTTTGTGACGAACTCATTTACCCCTTCATTGCACAAATGTTTGTGGAGTGTCTACTATATAACAGCCACTGGGGATATATCGTTGAACAATCCAGACTCCCCACCCTATTAGATGAGCTTTTAGTGGGTATGTGTGTGTGTGTTGGGGAGTAGGGGGTGCAGAACAGAGTAAACAAAAGAAATAAAGTTATATAGCATATTAGAAGGAATTTAGTGCTAGGAAGAAAACAAAGCCAACAGTGGGATAAGGAGTGTGTGTGGTGGGGTGTTGCAATTTTAAACAGGCTCGGGAGTATGAAAGAGGTCGTGTTCCCTGCAGAGTTACAGTGCGGGGTGGGGGCGGGGAGAGTGGAACAGTGCTCCTTCCCAATGTGGGGGTCTCCCCAAGCCAGGTGAGCACGGGGCGAGAGGGAGTCGTGCCTTTGTGGCTGGATTAGTTCCCGACATCCTCTGATTTTCTACAGCTTCTCCAGTCCCCTTCTAGTCTCCTTTTCCCAAGATTATAGGAAGGTGTGTGAGACAGAAAGAGACTGAGAATCAAGCTTTCTTGGCAGAAACATCAGTAAGCGAAAATTGAATTATAATGAAAATAACAATAGTAATAACTTCCTGACCTCGGTCATTAGGTACACACTCATGTTAGTTAATGCACCAGCACTAATAGACCCGACTCCCAGAGACCGCAACCCCCGGGGCACCGCAGGGCGCGCAGCCTCCCCTGGCGGCGGCCCCCGGGAGCGGGAGCGCACGGAGCACCTGGCTGGGGCCAGAACTCACCCCGAGGCGACTGTCGGGCCCGCCGCGGGGCGTGCGCGGGGCGGGGCCTCCACGGGGGCGGTGCTGGCGGGGGCGGGGCCGGATGCAGCCCCTCCCCCGAGGAGATCGGCGCGGGCCGGCAGCCCGCGCTGGGCGCTGGTTAAAGAGGCGCGCGGAGGCGGGAGCGGTGCATACTGCTGTGGCGCGCGGAGGGGTGGCCCACGTGTCTCCCCGGAGTCCGGCCCCGAGTTCACCCAGCTGCTTTCGCCCCGCGATCCAGGGCGCCCACTGGGCCCCCTTGGTGTCCGCCCGCCCCCGGCCCGCGTGAAAAGGGCCCCACATAGTTCCCCGGCTCGGTGGGCCAACTTGGCTGAGCAACTTTATCCCGGGAGCGGCGCCGGGGGAACGGGACACTGCGCATGCGGAGCTCCAAATTCAAACAGCTGTTTCCAGAGGCTGGAGGGCGGGTGGACCGGGAGCCGCTGGGGCTAGGGGAGGCTTTCTCGAGGAGGCGGCCGCTCCGGAGCCATGGTGGACCGGGGCCCTCTGCTCACCTCGGCCATCATTTTCTACCTGGCCATCGGGGCGGCGATCTTCGAGGTGCTCGAGGAGCCGCACTGGAAAGAGGCCAAGAAAAACTACTATACCCAGAAATTGCATCTGCTCAAGGAGTTCCCGTGCCTGGGCCAGGAGGGCCTGGACAAGATCCTGGAGGTGAGCCGCCGCCGTCCCCCTGCATCCACCTGAAGCAGGCTGGAGGTTCAGGAGTGCGCAAGGGAAGCCTCTCAGCTTTGGACGACACTTAGTCCCTGTGGGTGGCCCTGGGGGTGACAGGAGAGGATGTCTCACTATGGGTCTGGCTGCTGGGATCTGTCTTTCACCCGTGGACACAGGAGTCACCCACGCGCGGAGACTCTTTGGAACCCAGTTCATCCGGAGAAGAACTTAGGGTTGATCCCCGGGTGAACCAGGTCCTGCGGTGGCTCGGTGTGGGTGTGCGGGTACGTCCCTCTTTGGAAGGAGGTTGTGGGGCGGATAAAGGCGCTTATCTTTCCTTGGAGGCTCTCCCGGGTTTCGGGAGCCCGGCCGGTGCCACCCCCTCGCGTCACCACCTCCCAGCTCGGGAAGCCAGTGCCGCGCCCGCCCGGCTTTTCTTCTGGGCCGTGAGCCCGTCGGAGTTACGAGAAGGTCCCCTAGCCCCAGGCTGAGCAAAGAACCTCGCCCCCCCGGGGTCAGGAGCGGGGTCTGGGGCTCTGTCGGGCCTGAGTCCCCGGGGCAGGGGCTGGTGGCTGGAATACTCAGGCTTCCGTGAAGGCTTATCTCGCCAAGACATCCCTCAAGGGCTTGGAGTTAAGCTTTGTGAAAGTAGCAGGTTGAGCAAAAGAGCGAAACCCGGGGAGTCGCATTTTGGGGGAAAAGGAGACGTTGTGCAGAATGGAAGTTGGTGGGGAGAGTTTCTCCTCCACATTGGCCTTGGGAGCCTCTTATCTTCTGGCTCATATGCCCGATGGATGATGGCATTGACCTCGCTCGGATAAACTGTGGGGCTGACCTTGGGCCAGTTTGGGAACCAAGGCCCTTTACTCTAGTTTCTCGAAGGTTCTTAGCCTCAAGCATCCACCCTTCTTGGCCTGTGCTAATGGCCTCCCCCCAGTGGACCGACCAGGACCTGGGTAAGAGCCCGTAGAGGCTCTAGATCGTTAGGTGGAGGGGAGGGGGTCGGGGGGAGATTGTCCAAGGTGTTACCTTTCTCTTGGAATGAAAGATGCCAGAAAGGAGGTTTGATGAGGAACAGCATTTAATCTACAGCAGCCTCCGTATATTTTAAAGATTTTTGTTTATTTCTTTTTTCCCCCCAAAGCCCGAGTAGATAGTTGTATGTCATAGCTGCACATCCTTCTAGTTGCTGTATGTGGGACGCGGCCTCAGCATGGCCAGAGAAGCGGTGCGTTGGTGTGCGCCTGGGATCCAAACCCGGGCCGCCAGCAGCGGAGCGCGCACACTTAACCGCTAAGCCACGGGGCCAGCCCAGCCCCCCTATACTTTATAGCTGTCTAGTTGTCCTCATTTTTCCGGCCTCCGTTTCCCTATAGGTAAAATGAGCATGAACCCGTCTTCATCTGTTTTTATCTGCCCTGGACTGCTGGAAGGTAGAAAGCATTGGAAAACATGAAAATGTCTTGCCTCTGGTGCCCCATTTTTGTCCCCACCTCAATGGACATTCACACAAATGAGCATATGGGTGCCCACCAACAGCCGGGCAAGTAAAGACCTGTCTTCTCAGGGGCCAGTGGAAGGGGAGGTTTAGGCCAGCAGATTGGATATTTGGTTTTGGTGAGGAGAATCTCTGGACCTGTAGCAGTTCCTGGGGTGGGGGACGTGGGAGGTGAGGTTGGTGGGGAGGATGAGCTTCAGAAGGTAGTTGGGGGGTTAGCTCCTCATAGCAGGAGCTCTGGGATGAAGCGCATGCCTTTGGATGGGTGTCTGCCCTGTGTGTGTGTGTTGGGGAGGGGTCACTTTATAATTTCCCTTAGGAAACAATTCCTCTGGAGAACGAGTTGTTTTTTAGTTTCTTCCAGGGCTTTGTTTAGAGGGGGAAGGGGCCGGCGGGGATGATAAAGAATCGAGCTGCCCTCGAAGTGTTTCCCTCTTCGCTGCTCCTCCGCTACTGCAGGGGAAGGAAGGAAGGAAAGAATTCAAGGCTGAATGTGGGAAAATAAACTTCAAAACATGAGGAGAAGGGAAAAGGAGGGGTCGGGCTGAGGCAGCCGGGTGCAGCTGGTGGTAGCAGCTTTGGAGGTTGGACAGCTTTCTTAAGGTGTTTCAGCAAACAAAATGCCTCTTATTTTGAGGTCCTTTTAAACCCACCAGTGATTACCCCCACGAGTGGTCAAGTAACTTTTAGAAAAAGGATGTGGCGTCAGGCCAGTCTGATTTGAAAATGATTATGGGCAGCCCTGCCCCATCTGCAGCCAAAAACGCTCAAACCATCTCCAACCGGGCGAGTCCCCTCCCTTTATAGGAAAAACCCGAGAAATGAAAACGGACCAGTGGAAGCATTTTGCTAGCGTCACTTTTAGTCTGCAAAAACTTCTGCCTGGCTCCGCTTTCTGATCTGTCACTTGGGGCACTGCCTCAGGCCTCAGGAAATTGGTTTAAGGAAAAATGAAAACTCAAAAATCTTCATTCCCATCTGGCTGCTTCAGCATTTTCCACCTGAGGTTCTGTGTTGTATTGGGTTTGTAATCCTAAAGGAGTCTGTTGCTAGGAATTCCTGGGGTGGGGGCAGGCTCATGGGGAGGGTCGTTGTAGGGGAGGGGGTACAATCTGGGTTGGGGCTTTTCTTACACTGGAAATTGTGTGTGTGCTTTGAAATGCGTGAGAAAGGGAGTTAACCCACCTTTCTTTAGATCTTTGGAGATAGTCCCCAAGTCATCAAGTGCTCGATCCCTGTTCAAGCTGTGGTTGAACAGAGGCAGAGGCTGACTTTCAAATGCTCAGCGCACCACCAGCCTCACACCACCAGCCTCGGCTCTCATGGTCGTCCTCCTTCCTGCCTTCAGAACCATCTTGAATCCTTGCTCTCAAGCCTGCTCCACCAGGTGTTGGATGACCCACTCCCCCAGCCTCTTCCTAAATTGCAGACTCCCACAAGTGGAGTTAGCACTGACTGAGCACCCTCTGTGTTGGGCATGGTGGGTGCTATCTGCATTTTATGAGAGAGGGCACAGGCTGGTTTTGCCATCTGGCTTGGTCATTTACCCATCAAGCCCTTTAATTTTGCCTCTCTTTCCTCATCTGCAAAATGAGGGTCTGGTGAGGGTCAAGTAAAGTAGAGCGTTAGGCAAGATGTGTATGGAGCACACACATCTTGTGTTTGTGGCTAGCATTGATTGCACACACGTTGACCAAGGCAACTTGCCACGTGCTTTACCTGCATTAGTTCAGGTACTTCCTACAGCAATCTTATGTATTCAGATAAGGAAACTGAAGCTCAGCGAAGGTTAAGGTGGCCTTGGTGATACAGCAGGAGGGCACAGCCTAGGGGGAGGGAATGGGACAGTCTGCCTCCAGAGCCTGTTCCTTGGAAGCCCTTGCCTTCCCTCTCGGGCATGTGAAGCTGTTGAATGGTGGGTCTGTAAGTGAGCTGAGTAAATTGGTTCAGCTGGACTCTGCTCTGCTGGGAAATTCTATTTTCTGTTTCCCCTGGAACAGGTGTCAGCGTTGGCATTCCCCCGTGTTCTGCTCGGCTGAGTGGGTACCTTCTCCCTTACTGAAATGAGCAGCCGTCCACCCCACCCAGCTCCTCTTATGGAAGCACAAAAAAGCAGAGGGTTGGGGTGTAGGGGAGGAATAAACCCGTCTCAACCTTTACCCCCGGTGTGCGGTGATCATCAACAGAAAGGATTTGAGAGCCCACCACGCAGCAGGGCTTTGCATAAGCACTTTACATGCATTCATATTTTAATTTAATCTTGACGACCACCACTTTTTATGGATGAGGACAGTGAGGCTTGAAAAGATGATGTAACTTGGCCAGGATCATAGAGTGGAGGGTCAGGTTTCAAATCGAAGTGTGTTGTATTCCAAAGTACATGGAATTAGTCAACAAGCATTTATTAAGTATCCACTGTGTGCCAGGCACTGGGCAAAGCGCTGGGAGTTCAAAGATGAATTAGACACAGCCGGGCTCAGACTGGCTGCTGGGGAGAAGGATGAATAAACCCACTGTGGCAGGACAGTTCGTGAGGCCCCCACGGAGGTATTCAAGAGGGATTCTTAATGAGGGCTCCCGGGTCCAGCCTGAGGGATCAGGGAGGGCTCTCAGGAGGAGATGACCTGAAGCCAGAGTGGCGTCTTGGAATTAGGAGGGTTTAGCAGGGAAAAGAAGGGGGAAGAGAGTGGGGTGTTGCTTTGTGCTGTGGCTTTTGGGGGTGCGGTAGGGGTCCTCCCAGGCCCTGCCCTCCACTGGGGCACCCATCCCTAACTCTAGGTTTTCCTGACTGCTCACGTAGCTGACCAGTTCCCAGAAGCCTCTTGGATCCCACTAGCCTCCTTGCTGCCTGAGCTCCAAACTGCATTATCCTGTCCGGACGTTTTCCATGTCTGCCAGACCTCTCTCCTTTCATTTTCTATACACGTTCCAGTCTATAGCGGTGAGGCTGATGCCAATTTTGAGGTTCTGACATCCTGTGATTAACACCAATCTTCCTCCTAAAATTTGAGAAGTATAACTGTGGATTATGTGGTAAAATTACGTCTGACCAAAATGCTTAGAACAGGGCACGTTAATTGAATATTTTGGAGAATTGAGGGTTAACATGAAAACCTCTTTTGTTTCAAGCCTTGTTGGAAATTGTAAAGCGCACTGGTCCACTTAACCGCCTTTGTAAGTAGAGGGAACACAATAGATCTTTTGATTATCCGGGATCAGAGGCCTCCACATCATTAGTTCGAACTTGAACTCTGAAGTCTAGGACTGCAGAAGTGGAAAGTGGAGAAGTTAAGTTTTTGAGAGGAAATGGAAGAAAGAAGTCTCTTCCTAATGGCTTGTTTTCTTATTTATGTTCCACTCAAAGGGCAGCCAAAAAAAAAAAAAAATTCTCAAATCAATAAATCTGCCTTAGTTAACTGCTCTGGTTAGAGTTTTAACAGTTAAAGTGAATTTTTATTAAATCGTTTTGCGAGTTTTACTAGAGCCCTTAGGAAGATTA